CACACACACACACACACACACACACACACACACACACACACACACACACACACACACACACACACACACACACACACACACACACACACACACACACACACACACACACACACACACACACACACACACACACACACACACACACACACACACACACACACACACACACACACACACACACACACACACACACACACACACACACACACACACACACACACACACACACACACACACACACACACACACACACACACACACACACACACACACACACACACACACACACACACACACACACACACACACACACACACACACACACACACACACACACACACACACACACACACACACACACACACACACACACACACACACACACACACACACACACACACACACACACACACACACACACACACACACACACACACACACACACACACACACACACACACACACACACACACACACACACACACACACACACACACACACACACACACACACACACACACACACACACACACACACACACACACACACACACACACACACACACACACACACACACACACACACACACACACACACACACACACACACACACACACACACACACACACACACACACACACACACACACACACACACACACACACACACACACACACACACACACACACACACACACACACACACACACACACACACACACACACACACACACACACACACACACACACACACACACACACACACACACACACACACACACACACACACACACACACACACACACACACACACACACACACACACACACACACACACACACACACACACACACACACACACACACACACACACACACACACACACACACACACACACACACACACACACACACACACACACACACACACACACACACACACACACACACACACACACACACACACACACACACACACACACACACACATATATATATATATATATATATATATATATATATATATATATATATATATATATATATATATATATATATATATATATATATATATATATATATATATATATATATATATATATATATATATATATATATATATATATATATATATATATATATATATATATATATATATATATATATATATATATATATATATATATATATATATATATATATATATATATATATATATATATATATATATATATATATATATATATATATATATATATATATATATATATATATATATATATATATATATATATATATATATATATATATATATATATATATATATATATATATATATATATATATATATATATATATATATATATATATATATATATATATATATATATATATATATATATATATATATATATATATATATATATATATATATATATATATATATATATATATATATATATATATATATATATATATATATATATATATATATATATATATATATATATATATATATATATATATATATATATATATATATATATATATATATATATATATATATATATATATATATATATATATATATATATATATATATATATATATATATATATATATATATATATATATATATATATATATATATATATATATATATATATATATATATATATATATATATATATATATATATATATATATATATATATATATATATATATATATATATATATATATATATATATATATATATATATATATATATATATATATATATATATATATATATATATATATATATATATATATATATATATATATATATATATATATATATATATATATATATATATATATATATATATATATATATATATATATATATATATATATATATATATATATATATATATATATATATATATATATATATATATATATATATATATATATATATATATATATATATATATATATATATATATATATATATATATATATATATATATATATATATATATATATATATATATATATATATATATATATATATATATATATATATATATATATATATATATATATATATATATATATATATATATATATATATATATATATATATATATATATATATATATATATATATATATATATATATATATATATATATATATATATATATATATATATATATATATATATATATATATATATATATATATATATATATATATATATATATATATATATATATATATATATATATATATATATATATATATATATATATATATATATATATATATATATATATATATATATATATATATATATATATATATATATATATATATATATATATATATATATATATATATATATATATATATATATATATATATATATATATATATATATATATATATATATATATATATATATATATATATATATATATATATATATATATATATATATATATATATATATATATATATATATATATATATATATATATATATATATATATATATATATATATATATATATATATATATATATATATATATATATATATATATATATATATATATATATATATATATATATATATATATATATATATATATATATATATATATATATATATATATATATATATATATATATATATATATATATATATATATATATATATATATATATATATATATATATATATATATATATATATATATATATATATATATATATATATATATATATATATATATATATATATATATATATATATATATATATATATATATATATATATATATATATATATATATATATATATATATATATATATATATATATATATATATATATATATATATATATATATATATATATATATATATATATATATATATATATATATATATATATATATATATATATATATATATATATATATATATATATATATATATATATATATATATATATATATATATATATATATATATATATATATATATATATATATATATATATATATATATATATATATATATATATATATATATATATATATATATATATATATATATATATATATATATATATATATATATATATATATATATATATATATATATATATATATATATATATATATATATATATATATATATATATATATATATATATATATATATATATACATATATATATATATATATATATATATATATATATATATATATATATATGTACATATATAAATCTGATGTAAATCAGACGATCTGTTTCTTTAGGCGCGTAAAAGTTAGACTTAGGAATTTTATTTATCCTTTTCCCATTGTGCCATTCACAGATGTGCAAGGATAATTCTTTACTTTAAGGAACTCTTAGTCGGTTGTAGGGAATTAATAATGATCAATGATGAAGACACCTAAGTAATTCCTGGAGGCGGGTCCTTCATATCATGTAGGCGTGTCTTAATGAAAGCCAGTTTCTATTTTTGTAATGTACTGACTTGTCGGCGTTCTGTCAAGGTCTTGCACGGGAAGAGGTATATAAAGAGCCGGACGCATTGCCGGAGTCACATCGCCCTGTTCCGTCTCACCAATCCTGCAGAGATGAAGTACTTGGTGGGTAGACTTTCGGAATGATGGCTCTTCTATGAACAGAATTAATGTTTGTTTTGTAGTGTGATTTCTAAAATACATGTTTAATTTGACATTGTGTACCCTCAGGTGTTTGTGCTCCTGGTGGCTGCCGCTTGCGCTTCTGAGGTGGAGAAGCGAGAGGCGGAGCCAAGTCGTGCTTTAAGCTATGGCTACGGTGTTCACCACCACGCCTACCCCAGCACCTACTACCACCCTTATCACCGTTTGCACAAGAGGTCCGCTGAGCCTGAGGCTGATGCCGAGCCTTCTTACTTAGGCTACTATCGTCCCTATTCCTACAACTACCACAATACTCCCTATGTCCACCACCACTACAAGAGGTCCGCCGAACCTGAGGCCGAAGCCGAGCCCTCTTACGGTTCCTCCAGCTACTACCGTCCCTATTCCTACGGCTACCAACCTCACCACTACATTCCCTCAGTCCACCATCACCACAAGAGGTCCGCCGAGCCTGAGGCCGAAGCCGAGCCCTCTTACGGCTCCTCCAACTACTACCGTCCCTATTCCTACGGCTACCAACCACACCACTATATTCCCTCCGTCCACCACCACCACAAGAGGTCTGCTGACCCCGTTGCTGAGGCTGAAGCTAGCTACGGCTACAGGTCATACCACCCCTACCAATACACCCCCTACACTCACAGCCACTACAAGAGATCTGCTGAGCCAGAAGCTGATCCTAGCTATGGTCACCACCACCAGACCGTGTACCGTCCCTACCATAGCGGAGCTCACTATGGTTACGGTTACCGCGCTCACCACCACTAAGGTACTGAGTGTTTATATTCCCTGAAGCTATCTGTTTTATTTTTTAAAATTACTTAAAAGTAATAAAGTTAATGGGAATGAACAATATTTATGACTTAAGAATCCTGATTAGAAACTATAGAGAAAATGGAAAAGAAACATAGTGATATGTAAGTGAACTATACAAGCAACGAAGTAACACAAATAGTAACTGACAGTCAGAAAAAATAAAACTAATTTTAAATAAAACTAAAATAAAAAATAAAACTAATTTTAATTGAGGTGTAAAGCAATCAAGTTGTACTTGTAAGTGTGATTGACTTTTTGTAAGCATAATAATTGCAAATGATAATGAACTGATAAAATGAACACCAACAGATTGATAGATGAATAGATAAATGTGTAAATATGTTACATGAAAAGTGAGAAGAACTCACATTACTGCAATATGTAATATGCATACATCTTGGGAAGAGACAGTTTGTTGGACAAGGGCCATGGGGAGGCGAACCAGGTGCCCCTGAAGCTCAATTTGGCGGCATCGGATTGTGCAAGATGCAGGTCGTATGCCGGTCCCGCTGTTTGGACACATTCCTGCTAACTGTCCCCTACGGAGCAAGGACCTGTTGCAGAGGGTATCAAGACCTATATAAATACACACATCTATATATAGCATATACATAGTGAATATATGTCTATGCATGTATATATATAGAAACATATATATATGAACACAAACAAAACAGCAACGTATACACAAAGATGAAAAGAAAAACAGCCATAATAACGAATGAAACAATATTGTTTCATTTTGTGTGTGGCTGTTTTCTTTTCATACATATTTATACACAAATACATATATACATGGATATATATATAAAGACACATATTTGTATATGTATACTGTATATATACACTGTATATACATTTATAGTTATAGTATATATACATACAAACTGAAAATCTATTTAGACATTGTATATATATTTATATATATATATTTAAGTACAAGTTGTATATGGTATATATACAGTATATATACATATATATATATGCATACACATGTGTATGTGTATGGGCTCTATATTTCATTAATAAGCGACAAGTTTATCATATTCTATGGACTGCCATTATAGGGTTGAATAATATTACCCGAAGCATAGCCCTCTTACGGTTCCTCCAACTACTACCGCCACCGCCACAAGAGGTCTGCTGACCCCGTTGCTGAAGCTGAAGCTAGCTACGGCTACAGGTTATATCACCCCGTGTATCACCACTCCTTCCAATACACTCCCTACACTCACAGCCACTACAAGAGATCTGCCGAGCCAGAAGCTGATCCTAGTTTCAGCTATGGCCACAACCACCATAGCGGAGCTCACTATGGTTACGGTTACCACACTCACCACTAATAAGGCACTGAATGTTTATATGCCCTGAAGTTATCTGAAAGAGTTTTATAATGAAAATTTATTTAAAAACAATAAAGTCAATCTAAATGAATTATATATATGATTTAAAGAGTAACTACTAACCTTGTGCACAACTTTGCATTTTTTCATTGCTGAGATACTACTTTTTCAAAAGGAACTTGTTGCAAAATAAATTCTGTCAAAAAAATATAGTTTTGAAGCATTTTTTACCGAAATATGCGTCGTCTGCTAATTTACACATTAAAATACTGTTTGCAGCTCCATCTCTTGGAATTAGTTGCGATGACGTCATGAGTTGTGTTAGTGTCAGTGTTGTTTATTATGGCTATGGCGTGTTCTTCGTTATCCAGTGTTGGTAGCTTTTCAAGTTCGTCTATTGACGGTAGTCTGGACTCTATAAACATTACCGATAACAGTTAAGATGTATGGCATGTTTGGTAAGACGGTGTTGTGCTTGGTTACCAATTTGAGCCCGAATATTTGTCTGAAGAGGAGCTCTTGGAGTCCGCGGCATTTCAGCCACCAGAGAACTATTGGTTGGAACAGCAAATGGACAATACTGACTGGTAGGTCTCAGTTTTTTTTACACCCCTTTTTTCATGTCTCTAACGTTAGTTTAGTAGGGTATTCTGAGGTACTATTGATGAGTCTATACGGCGTCTAGGCTCACCATCGCTCGACATGATGCGAAATGCAATTTAGCCTACACTGTAAACAAAACGTCCAGTCTATGTACAGGGCATGCAGGGTGCATGCCCTGCATGCTTCCAATGTGACTGGCCATATTAATTAGATATCAGTGTGTCAGGGTCCTGATCCTGTAAAATGTCATCATGCCATGCAAGCTATGGCCATGAACATGATTTAATTAATACAGCTGGGGTTAGTGGTGGTGATTGGCGATTCCTTTGCAGGTTTTCGAAGTCGATCGTACCGAAGAAAATGGGGCCTAGTCTAATAGGCCTGTGATCTGGTTAGCCCGGTCCTAACTGTTAGCAAATTCCTATGTTAAAATACATCTTAACTGTGATTTTGATTTTTACAGGTGCAAGTGTGACAGATGTGAGTTATGTGAAACTCCAGAGGAAAACATGTGTTGCACAGAAAAGATGCCAATACAGGAAGAAATTGATGAGTACAACATTTTTTGGGGAAACATTAAGTGCATTACACAGCATCCAGGTTTCATGTCTGTCTGGATGCCTGGGTTCTGCAGAATGTTTATGATCATTTCAAAGTACAACATAAACAAAATATCACACGAAAATATCACACAAATGGTTCTCATCCATACATTCACGGCGATGACAAAGAAAATGAACACAACTCATGACGTCATTACCTGGTTGGTGGCGCTACTGGTAATATTTGAGGTAAAAGCTGTAGCAGACGACGTTTTGGGCCCAGAATTTGTTCATTCAAAAAGCTATAAATATAAAACGCGTTTTTTTTTTTTATTATTATTTTTTATTTCTTTAATTATTTATTTTTTTATCTTATGCAGATTTGGAGGTACATTAGAAATTCTAATCCTAATTAGAAACTAGAGATAAGATGGAATAGAGAAAGAAACTGATATGTAAGTGAACTATTCGCAAATATCTACTAGAACTGGGGGTAAATATAATTTGATTTGAGTCGTAAAACAATTAAGTTATTGTACTTGTAACTGTGACTGACTTCTCGTACGCATAATTACACCGTACTTCATGCAAATATTAAATAAAGTATCGAATTTTTCATGTAGCAAGTACTATGTCGGTCCAATCGACGGGTATCCCTGTTCCTGCTAACTGAGCCATGATCTAGCACAAGGATCTGTTGCAAAGGGCATCAAGACCTATATAAATATACACATATACATATATAGTATATATAGTATATATGCATACGTAAAGACATTCAAATATATGACCACAGACACTATTGTGCACACAGAGATGAAGAGAAAAACAGCCAAAATAGGAAATGAAATAATTTTGTTTCATTTCATATATATCATACACACAGACATATATAAATATATATTATACATACATATATACATATACATGTATATATATATATATATATATATATATATATATATATATATATATATATACAAACAAACAAATACAGACATACATATATATGTGTATATATATTTGTGTGTATATCTATATGTAATATATATGTATATATGTGTCTGTAATATCTATATCTATACATATATAGGTAAACAGTTGTGTGTGTTTGTGTACACATACATCTGTGTGTAATATATACTTATATATAAATATACACATATGCACCTTTATAAACAGTTTTTTTATGTGTATATATACATGTGTGCATGTCCTTGAATAGGTATATATATATACATATATATATATATATATATATATATATATATATATATATATATATATATATATATATATATATATATATATATATATATATATATAAATTTACACTATATACATATACAATGTATAGTCATCTATATTTATACAGTATATATATACTTATACTTATAGTTATGTACATTATATATATTTATATATATATATATATATATATATATATATATATATATATATACTGTAAATATAAATAGTATATATACATATATACACACATGTACATGTGTGTGTTGACTCTATATCTCATCAATCAGCGACTAGTATATTCTATTCTGTGGGCTGTCATGAGAAGTAAAGTCATTATAGTATAATAATATAACCTAAACACAAGCATCTAATATTTTTGCTTTTGACAATTCTTTCTGACGTGTCTAGTGACACTAGGACTATCTGCTGGTGTAGTTGAAAAAAGAACAAATCATGACCGTAAATGTAATCGAGCCAGTCCCATGGATTTCACTCGATTCTCGCTTGTCGGTACCTGTAAATTTGTCCCAGAGAAAGTTTTGAATAATTCTACAGACGCAAATCTGAGTGTTGAAAACTGTCCCTGACTCACGGACTCGTCAGGAAGAACTGAGGAAATGCAAAAAAAAAAATAAGTTGCTTGTGTTAGTAATCATTTTTCTAAACGTATTTCTTGTGCTGTGGTCTGAACAAAGCTGGTAAAGAACCACGAAAAATATAGTTATGACAAACTAACAAACAATGATCATACCAATGTTAATGAAATATAGATAAATACCCAATAAGATAAGCATATATATATATACATTACACATCCACACGCTGATATATTTTCATAAAAAGGACATATATATATATATATATATATATATATATATATATATATATATATATATATATATATATATATTTATACGTGAACTTGGAAGCAAGCCTAAAGTAACTATGCTTGTAAGGAAACCGAAATGTTAGCAATTACACATTTGTAATCAGTAACTGTAATTGATTTTTAGTTAATTTAAACTGTTCTTACATTTGCACATTGACTGTTTAGAAGCATATTTATCAAACTAATGAAATTACTCGAAGAAAGCCAAGCAGCATGACATATATCTACCATTCATTTCCAGTCACGAGGGTTTATTCTGGAGACGACCATGAGAAGAAACGCCATGAAACACCGACAGCTATTAGCAAAATAAACAAATAAAGTTATCGTAATTATTAATGCAATCGACCCAAACCGTGGAATTTACTCGTGCTTAGCTTGTTGGCACCTGTATTTTTTCCCCAGAGAAAGCTTAAAGTAGTTCTACAGACTGAAATCTCAATGTGGAATGGCGTTTCTTATTCACTTGACACGTTTTGTTAGGGAAGGCATCAGGAAGAACTAACAGGAGAAAAAACATACGGTGCTTTCATTTCATTCCTGTCGTGAATACTGCTAAAGAAGACTGGCTGACAGTGAAAAAAATATAGTTATGGCCAACCTATGATTAGACAGAATAATGATAATAACGATTATATATACAGTGTACACACACAAACACATATATTCATTTATATGCATATGCATATATGTATACAGTTATCTATTTATTTTTATTTATGTACACGCACATTCATTTATCCTGTATATATGAATATACACAGATAAACGCATATATATATATATATATATATATATATATATATATATATATATATATATATATATATATATATATATATATATATATATATATATATATATTTATATATATATGTATGTATATATATTTATATATATGTATATGTATATATTTATATATATATATATATATATATATATATATATATATATATATATATATGTATTTATATATATGTATATGTATATATATATGTGTATTAATAATGCACACAAACACATGTATGTGTGTATATATATATTACACACACACTGATACAAATATATATGTATGTGTGTCTGTATATGTGCATGTGTGTATGTGATATACCATGTATATTTATATTTATATATACACATATATGTATATATATACATATATATATTGTTGATAGATATAAGCCTGTCTATATATACATATACATATATATCTATGTATGTATGTTTACATATATGTATGCATATAGATGCACGTATACATATATACATACAGAGGCACATAAATAAACAAACAGATATATGAATATATATATATATATACATACATACATATACATAAGTGTATATGTATATAGATAGATAAATGTACATGCATATTTTATACTAATATACATACATAATATATACATACCTATTCAAGGACATGCACACATGTATATATACACATAAAAAAACTGTTTATTTAGGTGAATATGTGTATATTTACATATAAATATACAATACACACAGATGTATGTATACACAAACACACACAACTGTTTACTTATATATGTATGAATATAAACATTACAGACACACACATATAAACATATATATTACATATAGATATACACACACATAGATATACACATACATATGTGTGTCTGTATTTGTTTGCGTGTGTATGTGCGTATGTGTGGGTATGTGACATATCACGCATATCTATATATATACACGTATATATAAGTATACATGCCTATGTATATATATATATATTCATATATGTATGTAAACGTACACACACACACACACACACACACATATATATACATTTATATATGTATGTAAACGTACATATATACATATGTAGGCATATGCAAAGGTACATAAATAACCAATAAATAAAGGAATATTTATATACATATGCGTATATATACATAGGCATGCCTAAATACATGCATACATACCAAGGGAAATACATACATGCATACATACACAGGTACATAAACCAACGAATAAAGGATACACACATAGATATTATATATATATATATATATATATATATATATGTATATATATGTATATATATATATATATATATATATATATATATATATATATATATAAATCTGCTGTACACCAGTCGATCTGTTTCTTTAGGCGCGTAAAATGTTTTATATTTTCATAATATATATATATTTTTCCATTGCGTCAGATGTGCAAGGATAATTCTTTACTTTAAGGAACTCTTAGTCAGTTGTAGGGGATTAATAATGATCAATGATGAAGACAGCCAGGTAATTCATATTATGTAGGCGTGTCTTATTGAAAGCCAGTTTCTATTTTTGTAATGTACAGATTTGTCGGCGTTCTGTCAAGGTCTTCCGTGGGAAGAGGTATATAAGGAGCCGGACGCATTGCCGGAGTCACATCGCCCTGTTCCGTCTCACCAATCCTGCAGAGATGAAGTACTTGGTGGGTAGACTTTCGTCATGATCGGTCTTCTGTGAACAGGATTTATGATGTTTGTTTTGTAGAGTGAGTGATTTCTAAAATACGTGTTTAATTTGATATTGTGTACCCTCAGGTGTTTGTGCTCCTGGTGGCTGCCGCTTGCGCTTCTGAGGTGGAGAAGCGAGAGGCGGAGCCAAGTCGTGCTTTAAGCTATGGCTACGGTGTTCACCACCACGCCTACCCCCGCACCTACTACCACCCTTACCACCGTTTCCACAAGAGGTCCGCTGAGCCTGAGGCTGATGCCGAGCCTTCTTACTTAGGCTACTACCGTCCCTATTCCTACAGCTACCACAATACTCCCTATGTCCACCACCACTACAAGAGGTCCGCCGAACCTGAGGCCGAAGCCGAGCCCTCTTACGGCTCCTCCAACTACTACCGTCCCTATTCCTACGGCTACCAACCACACCACTATATTCCCTCCGTCCACCACCACCACAAGAGGTCTGCTGACCCCGTTGCTGAGGCTGATGCTAGCTACGGCTACAGGTCATACCACCCCGTGTATTACCACTCCTACCAACACACACCCTACACTCACAGCCACTACAAGAGATCTGCTGAACCAGAAGCTGATCCTAGCTATGGCCACCACCACCAGACAGTGTACCGTCCCTACCATAGCGGAGCTCACTATGGTTACAGTTACCGCGCTCACCACCACTAAGGTACTGAGTGTTTATATTCCCTGAAGCTATTTGTTTTATTTTGAAAAATGACGTAAAAGTAATAAACCTAATGGAAATGAACAATATTTATAATTAATCCTGAATAGAAACTAAAGAGAAAATGGAAAAGAAACATATTGATATGTAAGTGAACTATACAAGCAACGAAATAACATGGCAGTCAGAAAAAAATAGAACTATGGATAATTGTAATTTTAATTGAAGTATAAAGCACTTAAGTTGTACTTGTAGGTATGACTGACTTTTTGTAAGCATAATAATTGCAAATAATCTCATGCAAATATTGCACTGACAAAATGAACACCAACAGACTGATAGAGTAGATAGAGTAAACGTGTTACATGAGACGCGAGAAGTTTAATACTTGTTCAACTCACATTTCTGCAATATGTAATATGCATATATCTTGGGAAGAGACAGTCTGTTGGACAAGGATCGTCCACGGGGAGGCGAGCCAGGTGCCCTTGAAGCTCATTTTGGCGGCATCGGTTTGTGCAAGTTGCAGGCCATTCCTGCTAACTGTCCCTCATGGTTCGGGACAAGGACCTGTTGCAAAGGGCATCAAGACCTATATAAATATTCATATCTATATACAGCGTATATATAGTACATATATGTGTATAAATGTATATATGTACATAGAAACATATATATGGACACAAACACTTTCTTTCCATATATATTTATACATAAATATACAACTTACGTACATGGATATATGTATATAAAGCGACACATATGTATTTTATATTTATATATACTGTATATATACTGTATATACACATTTATATTATATAAACATGGGTATGTATACATACATACTGTAAATCTATTTAGATATTGTATATATACTCTATACATATATATATTTATGAACAATTGAATATAGTATATATACATTATATATACATATATATATATACATACACATGTGTATGTGTGTGGGCTCTATATTTCATTCATAAGCGACGTTTATTCTATTCTATGGACTGCCATGAGAATTAGCGTCAATATAGTGTTCAATAATATTACCCTAACACGATTCCTGTAAATTTGTTCCAGAGAAAGCTTTCAGTGGTTCTACAGACACAAATCTCCGTATTGAAGGCTGTCCTTCATTCACGGACTTGTCACGAAGTGACCAAATTCAGAAACATAGGTTTCTTGTTTTGCGTCATTTTTCTACACTAGTATTACGTTCCTGTGATCAATATTTCTGAACAAAACTGGAAGCGAACAAAGAAAAGTATAATTTGACAAACTGACAAGTAAACAGAATGATCATAATGATAATGAAATAGATACATAAAATGTACGATAGGATATGCATATATATATATATATCACATACCCACACATATATATATCTCCATAATAAGTACATACATATACAAATATATATATATACGTGCATACTTATATACACCTATGCACTATAAACCTGTGGATTTGTCTAGACTCACCTAAAATTACAACCATTATCTTTCTGTATGTATGTATATGTAAAGACATTGACCTAGAAACATGTTAACCTTATGTATTTGGATTCCTTTATAACAGGCATTCGCACATGTGTAGGGAAATTCCTTAATTAAGATAAGTGAATGAGACACCAGACATTTCCTGTGGGCGGTTCTTCGTCTTATGTGGTCGTGTTCTGCTGAAAGCCAGTTTCTAATATCACACTTTTGTCAAGGACTTGTGTGGGAACCGATATATAAGGAGGTAGACGCATTGCCGGAGTCACATCACCCTGTTCTGTCTCACCAATCCTGCAGAGATGAAGTACTTGGTGGGTAAAATTTCAGCGTGAGTGGTATTAATGGTGTTTATTTTGTTTTATGACCGATGAGTGTTTGATTTAACATTGTGTACCTTCAGGTGTTTGTGCTCCTGGTGGCTGCCGCTTGCGCTTCTGAGGTGGAGAAGCGAGAGGCGGAGCCAAGTCGTGCCTACAGCTATGGCCACGGTGTCCAGCAACACGCCTACTACCCACGCACCTACTACCATCCCTATCACACCTACCACAAGAGGTCTGCTGAGCCTGAGGCTGAGGCTGAGCCTTCGTACCGTTCCTACTACTACCCAGGCTACTACCGTCCCTATTCTTACGGCCATGTCCACCACCACCACAAGAGGTCCGCTGAGCCTGAGGCGGAAGCAGAGCCCTCTTACGGCTCCTCCAACTACTACCGCCCCTACTCCTACGGCTACCAATCACACCATTATATTCCCTCCGTCCACCACCACCACAAGAGGTCTGCTGATCCCGTTGCTGAAGCTGAAGCTAGCTACGGCTACAGGTCATACCACCCCGTGTATCACCACTCCTACCAATACACCCCTTACACTCACAGCCACTACAAAAGATCTGCCGAGCCAGAAGCTGATCCTAGCTATGGCCACCACCACCAGTCCGTGTACCGTCCCTACCATAGCGGAGCTCACTATGGTTACGGTTACCACACTAGCCACTACTAAGGCACTGAATGTTTATATGCCCTGAAGTTATCTGAAAGAGTGTGATAATGAAAATTGATTAAAAACAATAAAATCAATCTAAATGAATTATACATATGATTTTAGAATCCTAATTAGAAACTAGAGATAAAATGGAATAGATAAAGAAACCGATATGTACGTAAACTATACGCAAATATCTACTAGAACTGGGGGTAAATATAATTTGTTTTGAGTTGTAAAGCAATTACGTTATTGTACTTGTAACTGTGACTGACTTCTCGTACACATAATTGCACCGTACTCCATGCAAATATTAAATAAAGTATCGAATTGTTCATGTAGCAAGTACTATGTCGGTTCAATCGGCGGATACCCATGTTTCTGCTAACTGTGCTATGGTCCTGCGCAAGGATATAATTATAATCATATATATATAATCATACATATCTACATATATATCATATATAGTATATATGTATATACACACAAGAACATACAAATGTATGAACACAAACACAGTAACGTGCACAGAAAGATGAAAAGAAAAATATCCAAAATAGGAAATGAAATAATTTTGCTTAATTTCATGTTGTGGCTGTTTTTCTTTTCATACACACACAAACTTATATGAATATACATTATACATACATATACACAGATACATATATATATTATATATACACTATATACATATACATATATGTTATATATACACTATACATATACAACATATAATCATGTATACTTACACAATATATATATACTTATATTTATAGTTATATACATTATATATATATTGTATATATAAACATTATATATACATATATACATACACGTACATGTGTGTGTTGACTATATATTTCAGCAATCAGCGACAAGTTAATTCTATTATGTGGACTGCCATGAGAAGTAAGGTCATTATAGTATACTAATATAACCTAAACACAAGCATCTAATGTTTTTACTTTTGACAGTTCTTTCTGAGGTGTCCAGTGACACTAGCACTGTTTATGTACACGCACATTCATTTATCCTGTATATATGAATATACACAATTACACATATATATGTATATATACACATACACACATGTATGTATATAAATATATATGAGTGTATGCTTATACATGTATGTATAAATATTACAAAAACACATATATGCATATCTATATATACCAGACAAACACACTGATATATGTCTTTATATGTGCATGTGTGTGTGTATTGTGTGTATGTGATATACCATGCATATCTATATATATATGTATATATATGTATATATATATACATATATATACTGTTGATAGATATGTCTATATATATACATATACATATATCTATATGTATTTATGCGTGTATGTATGCATATAGATGCATGCATACATGCATCTATATACAGAGGCGCATAAATAAACCAATAGATACATGAATATATGTATACATATACACATGCATTTACATACGTATATATATATATATATAGAGAGAGAGAGATGTACATGCATAAAGTTTTTATACATACATAATACATATATGCCTATTTAAGGACATGCATACATACATACATACACAGAAAAAACATACGTGTATATATATACAGGCACATATATAAACCAATAAATAAAGGAATATATACATATAAAGCTGCTGTACATCAGTCGATCTATTTATTTAGGTGCATATGAGTATATTTATATATAAGTATATATTACACACACATGTATGTATACAGAAACACACACAACTGGATGTTTATATATAAATATAAATATTACAGACACAAACATTTATATGTGTATATACATACATATCACATATAGATATACACAGAAATATACATACATGTATACGTGTCTGTATGTGCGTATGTATGTGTATGCATGTGATATATCATTTATATCTGTATTTACATATACACGTATATATAGGTATACATGCATATATATACATATATATGTAAGTAAATTTACATATTTATATATGTATAAAAACCTACACATATAGATGCATGCATATATACACAGGCACATGAATAACCATTATGCGTATGCGTTTATATACGCATGTATATGCGTATATATACACGTATGCATGCCTATATACATGCATACATACACAGGAAAATACATACATGCATACATACACAGGAAAATACTTACATGCATATATACAAAAGTGCATAAATAAACCAATCGATAAAGGACACACATACATATACATTACACACACACACATATGTATATATATATAAATATAAATCTGCTGTAAATTAGACGATGTTTCTTTAGGCGCGTAAAAAATATATAGGATATACAGAGATACATATATATGTATAATCTGCTGGGCATCATTCAATCTGTTTCCTTAGGTGCGTAAAAAGTTAGACTTAGGCATTTCCCTTTTTCCTATTGTGTCATTCACAGATGTGCAAGGATAATTCTTTACTTCAAGGATGAAGACACCCAGTTAATTCCTGGAGGCGGGTCCTTCATATCACGTAGGCGTGTCTTATTGAAAGTCAGTTTCTATTTTTGTAATGTACTGACTTGTCGGCATTCTGTCAAGGTCTTGCGTGGGAAGAGGTATATAAGAAACCGGACGCATTGCCGGAGTCACATCGCCCTGTTCCGTCTCACCAATCCTGCAGAGATGAAGTACTTGGTGGGTAGACTTTCGGCATGATCGCTCTTCTGTGAACAGAATTAATGTTTATTTTGTAGAGTGATCTCTAAAATACGTGTTTAATTTGATATTGTGTACCCTCAGGTGTTTGTGCTCCTGGTGGCTGCCGCTTGCGCTTCTGAGGTGGAGAAGCGAGAGGCGGAGCCAAGTCGTGCTTTAAGCTATGGCTACGGTGTTCACCACCACGCCTACCCCCGCACCTACTACCACCCTTACCACCGTTTCCACAAGAGGTCCGCTGAGCCTGAGGCTGATGCCGAGCCTTCTTACTTAGGCTACTACCGTCCCTATTCCTACAGCTACCACAATACTCCCTATGCCCACCACCACTACAAGAGGTCCGCCGAACCTGAGGCCGAAACAGAGCCCTCTTACGGTTCCTCCAACTACTACCGTCCCTATTCTTACGGCTACCAGCCACTCCACTATATTCCCTCCGTCCACCACCACCACAAGAGGTCCGCTGAGCCTGAGGCCGAAGCAGAGCCCTCTTACGGCTCCTCCAACTACTACCGTTCCTATTCGTACGGCTACCAGCCACACCACTATATTCCCTCCGTCCACCACCACCACAAGAGGTCTGCTGACCCCGTTGCTGAGGCTGAAGCTAGCTACGGCTACAGGTCCTACCACCCCGTGCATTACCACTCCTACCAATACACCCCTTACACTCATAGCCACTACAAGAGATCTGCTGAGCCAGAAGCTGATCCTAGCTATGGTCACCACCACCAGACCGTGTACCGTCCCTACCATAGCGGAGCTCACTATGGTTACGGTTACCGCACTCACCACCACTAAGGTACTGAGTGTTTATATTCCCTGAAGCTATGTTTTATTTTGAAAAATGACTTAAAAGTAATAAAGTTAATTGGAATGAACAATATTTATGATTTAAGAATCCTGATAAGAAACTAGAAAGAAAATGGAAAAGAAACATATTGATATGTAAGTGAACTATACAAGCAACGAAATAACACAAATAGTAACTTACAGTCAGAAAAAAAACCTAGAACTGTGGATAACTGTAATCTTAATTGAGGTGTAAAGCAATGAAGTTGTAAGTGTGACTGACTTTTTGTAAGCATAATAATTGCAAATGATCTCAAGCAAATATTGCACTGATAAAATGAACACCAACAGATTCATAGATGAATAGAGTAAATTGGTTACATGAAAAGTGAGTTCTATATTTGTTGAACTCACATTTCTGTAATCTGTAATATGCATATATCTTGGGAAGAGACAGGCTGTTGGACAAGGATCATCCACGGGGAGGCGAGCTAGGTGCCCCTGAAAGCCAGTTTCTAATTTCTCACTATTGTCGGTGTTTTATCAAGGGCTCGTATGAGAACTTGGTGGGTAAAATTTCAGCGTGTTCACTCTTGTGTGAGTGGTGTTAATGTTGTTTATTTTGTGTTGTGACCGATCCGTATTTGATTTAACATTGTGTACCTTCAGGTGTTTGTGCTCCTGGTGGCTGCCGCTTGCGCTTCTGAGGTGGAGAAGCGAGAGGCGAAGCCAAGTCGTGCCTACAGCTATGGCCACGGTGTCCAGCACCACGCCTACTACACACGCACCTACTACCATCCCTATCACACCTACCACAATAGGTCCGCCGAGTCTTAGGCTGAAGCCCAACCTTCGTACCGTTCCTACCACTACCCAGGCTACCACAACCACACCACTATATTCCCTCCGTCCACCACCACAACAAAAGTCTGCTGATCTCGTTGCTGAGGCTGAAGCTAGCTACGGCTACAGATCATATCACCCCGTGTATCACCACTCCTACCAATACACACCCTACACTCACATCCACTACAAGAGATCTGCTGAGCCAGATGATGATCCTAGTTTCAGCTATGGTCACCACCACCATAGCGGAGCACTCACACTTATCACTACTAAGGCACTGGGAGTTTATATGCCCTGAAATTATCTGAAGGAGTTTGATAACAAAAACTTATTAAAAAAAAAATAAAAACAATCTAAATAAATTATATATATGATTTAAGTATCCTAATTAGAAACTACAGAGAAAATGGAATAGAGAAAGAAACTGATATGTAAGTGAACTATACGCAGATATCTACTAGAACTGTAGGTAACTATAATTTGATTTGGGTTGTAAAACAATTACGTTATTGTACTTGTAACTGTGACTGACTTCTCGTACGCATAATTGCGCCATACTTCATGCAAATATTACATGAAGTATCGAATTGTTCATAGTAGTAAGTACTATGTCGGTCCAATCGGCGGGTACCCATGTTCCTGCTAACTGTGCCATGGTCTAGCGCAAGGACCTGTTGCAAAGGGCATCAAGATCTATATAAATACACACAAAAGAACAAATATATGAACACAAACACAGTAACGTGCACTCACAGATAAAAAGAAAAACAGTCAAAAAAAGAAATGAAATAATTTCATTTCATATTGTGGCCGTTTTTCCTTTCACACACACAAGCATATATATAAATATACATTATACATGCATATATACATATACATATATATATTATATACATACTATATACATATATATATATATATATATATATATATATATATATATATATATATATATATATGCATATACATATATATACCATATGTATACTATATACATATACATATTATATATATAATATATACACATATACATATACATATATATTATATATAAACTATATACATATACAATATATAATCATGTATACATACACAGTAGATATATACTTATATTTACATTTACATTTATATTTATTACATGTGTGTGTGTGTCAGCAATCAGCGACTAGTTTATTCTATTCTGTGGATTGTCATGAGAAGTAGTCATTACAGTATAATAATATAACCTAAACACAAGCATCTAATCTTTTTGCTTTTGACAATTTTTTCTGACGTGTCCAGTTACACTAGCACTATCTGTTGGTGTAGTTGAAAAAAATAACAAATAATCATAATCGTAAATGTAATCGAGCCAGTCCCATGGAATTTACTTGCGCCTAACTTGTCGGTACCTGTAAATTTGTTCCAGAGAAAGCTTTGAATAGTTCTACAGACGCAAATCTGAGTGTTGGAAACCTGACTCACGGACTCGCCAGGAAGAAATGAAGAAATGCAAAACCATAAGTTGCTTGTGTTAGTATTATTTTTCTAAAATTGTAGTTCTTTGCTGTGATCAATATTTTTTAACAAAACAGGTAAAGAACCACGAAAAATATAGTTATGACAAGCTAAATACGTACGTATATATACAAACACTTAAATGAACACCTGCATCCTGCATACTATAAACCTCAGCAAGGATTTTATTTAAAGTAGTAATGAGGTCATAAAGAGTTTCTAAATCAATCATGATTATGATTCAAGAATTCTTTTTACATGAGTCACTGAGAAAGATGAACAGAAATACAAGAGAAAATTATCACTGAACATATATATACAACCATGAAAATAAACAGCACAACATACATACGAATAAACACAAGCGACCAAATCAACCACAGCCTCAAAGCAACCAAGGCATTCCACCCATTCATCCATCCTTCGATCCAGAGAGAGGCAGCTTCATCCTTCAGTCATCGGCCTTGTCAACTGCGTTCTTAGCATCATCAGCTGATTGGAACCGTGAGAGGAAGTCGAGATATGCCAGTGCCATCGGACTCAAGCAGTGTCACAACCCGGAAGTGATATTATAATGCTGAGATTTGATATATCATTTTCATATTTTCATATTTATGATTGAACATCTTACTGGAGGAGCGGAGTGAACCTGGAAGCAAGCCTGAAGCAACTATGCTCGTAAGGAAACTGAAATGTTAACAATTACACATTTGTAATCAGTAACTGCAATTGATTTTTAGGTAATTTAAAAATGTTTTTGCAGTTGCACATTGACTGTTTAGAAGCATAAACATCAAACCAATGGAATTACTCGAGGCAAGCTAAGCAGCCTTATAAATATCTACCATTCATTTCCATCCACGAGGGTTTGCTCTGGAGACGACCATGAGAAGAAACGTCATGAAACAATGACTGCTATTCTTGTAATTGTAACCGGTATTAACAAATAAACAAATAAAGTAATCGTAATTATTAAGGTAATCGACCCAAACCGGTGGAATTTACTCGAGCTTAGCTTGTTGGCACCTGTATTTTTTCCTCAGAGAAAGCTTAAAGTAGACTGAAATCTCAATGTGGAAGGCCGTTTCCTGCTCACTAGACACGTTTTGTTAGGGAAGGCATCAAGAAGAACTAACTGGCAAAAAACAAACAAAAAACAGAAACATAAGCTACTTGTGTTAGGGTCTGTATTTTCCTATATTTTCATATCTTTACCGTCACCAATACTGCTAAAGAAAAAACATATATATAGTTATGAACAACCTATTAGATAGAAGGATGATAATAACGAATATATATATACATACATACATACATATATATATATATATATATATATATATATATATATATATATATATATATATACATGCAGTATACAGTGTACACACACATATATATTCATATAAGTATATACATATACATATATATGTATATAGTTATTCATTTTCATTTACGTTCACGCACAGTCATTTATCCTGTATATATGATTCACACATATATGTATATATATACATACACACATGTATGTATATATATATTTATGTATATGTATATGTATATATGTCTATAAATGTATGTATAAAGATTACAAACACACACATAGATATGTATGTATATATATACATATTACACATAAACACTAATATAGATATATAAGTATGTGTCTGTATGTGTGCATGTGTGTATGTGATATACCATATATATTCATATTTATGTACGGACGTATATATATATATATATATATATATATATATATATATATATGTATGTATGTATCTATAGACATATATATATATAATGTTGATAGATATATGCATGTCTATAAATACATATACATATATCTATATATTTATATATACGTATGTATATGCATATTGATGCATGCGTACATGTAAATATAGAGAGGCACATACATAAACCAATAGATATATGAATATATATACATATATATATATATATATATATATATATATATATATATATATATATGCATACATACATATACATATAGATGAACATGCATAATGTATACTTATATACATACATAATATATACATGCCTATTCAACGACATGCATACATGCATACATACACAAAAAACAAGCAAACATGCATATATATATATATATATATATATATATATATATATATATATATATATATGTATATATATATACAGGCACATATATAAATCAATATATGCATATGTGTATATTTCTGTATAAGTATACATTACACAGATGTATGTATACACAAACACACACAAACTGTCTATGTATATATGTATAAATACAAATATTACAGACACAAACATATGTGTATATATACACATCACATATAGATATACACACAGAAATACATATACTTATATGTGTGTGTGTGTTCGCGTGTGTATGTGTGTGCATGTGATATATCAAGTATATCTATATTTATATTTACACACACACACACACACACACACACACACACACATATATATATATATATATATGTATGTATACATGCCCATATATACATACATATACATATATATTTATATATTTATGAAAACGTACATATATACATATACAGAAGCATGCACATATGTAAAGGTACTTAAATAACCAATAGATAAAGGAATATATATACATATGCGTACCGGTATACATACATACATACACTGGAAAATATATACATACATACATGGGTATATAAATAAACCAGTTAATATAGGATATACACACATACATATATATGTA